TAAATATAGGGAGCCAAACTATGGATAAAGAATCCGTATCTGAATTGGCGGATCCAAGCATTTAGGATGTCATTCAGAGCTCCCTCTAGGATTGGTTTAAGAAGCAGAATGTTTCCATACTTGCCATAGTGGTAATCTTTGTAAATTATATATCAATTGCCATAGTCATCTTTGCAAATTATGTATCAATTAATCCCAATATAATAAAGAAATATAAAAAGCATCTTACTGATTATTAAAAGACTGGGTCTATTGACTAGCTATAATATTATTTTCCTATATTTAGGTAACAGAAACATTAAAACTGTGAACATCTCTCCATTTACCCACAATGCCCTACTAGCATATATAAATGCCAAGATGGGGAAGTAGTTAGTGTCTGCTACTGAACACCCAACTGCACAAGATGATGGAATAATTGGCTCCTTAAACAATTATTTATAGTATGTACCAAAAAAGCTGCATTATTAATAGATTTTACCTTAAATGACAAATGCTGGAGGTTTCCCACTGCCAGAATTAAACTGTCCTTCGAAATTCTAGTAATTATATATGACAATTTATTAAATCAAATAGTGTTGCATCCAACAGAGGGAGTTCTATATTAGACTTCATCTTGACAAATAAAGGAGTATTAATCACAGGATTAAAAATTTCTGGTTGCTTAGGTACAAAGGTCACATATGTTATGTACAAAGTCGGTAGAATCTAAACAAGTAATACAGATACTTGATGCCTTAGAAGGACCAATTTCACAAAGAAATTATAAGCGAAATCACCAGGGAGAAAGAATTTAAACAGAAGGATACGACAGATAACAAGGAGACTATCAAATAATATTTCAGTAGAGGTTCAAAAAGCCAAAATCCTATAATCAAGTTAAAAAAACAAAGAAAGGTTCAAAACCAAGTTGGTCATAGAGGGTTAGTGGAAGTAGCTATAAAAATTATATAGTACACATACATACACCCACATATATGAAACAAAAAGGGGGATGCTGACAGCAGTGTATATAAATGAGAAGATAGACATGGTAGAGCATTAATAAAGGAAGCAAAAGGACACTAAAACAAATGTATGACCATCATAGTTAAAGACAATAAGGAGGTATTAAGTTTGAGAACAAAAGGAATCTTAACTATGCAGTTTTCCATTACTAGATGAAAATGGTAAAATAGCCAATAATTAATGCAGAAAAGGTTGAAATGTTCAATAAATATTTCTGTTCTGTACTTTGGAAAAAGCTAGATGATATAGTCATATTACAGGATGATGATGAAAGGCTTTCCACTCCCAACAGTATCTGAGAGGAATGTAAAACATCAGCTACAGTAGTCAGATATTTTAATACTATCAGGTGCTTAAAAAGCGGACTGAAAAGCTCTTTGGGTCATTAATGTTAATATTCAATAAATCTTGGAACACTAGGGAATTTCCAAGGGACTGGAAGAAAGCTCATGTTGTGCCAATATTTAAAAAAGGGTAAACAGGATGATTGCTTAATTACGGGTCTGTCAGCTTGACATTGATTCCTGGCAAAATAATGGAACAACTGATATATGACCCTATTAATTAGGAATTAAAGGAGGGTAATATAATTAATACCAATCAACATGAGTTCATGGAAAATATATCATGTCAAACTAACTTGGTATCTTTTTTTATAAGATGACAAGTTTGATTGATAAAGGTAATACTATTGAAGCGATTAAATTTTTGTAAGGCATTGCATTTGTTAATACCTAACTTTTGGATTAAGAAACCAGAATGATACCAAATCAACATGATGCACTGTTCAGTGTATTAAAAACAGTGTGTCTGATACACATTTGCTGTTACATTTTGAAAAGTAAGTCATCATCAAGCATTTCTACTGAGATTCAGCAAGGACTGATCACTGGTCTTATGCTTTTAACTTTTTCATCAGTGAGCAGTAATATCTTTTCTGATAAAAGCGCAAAGATGAAACAAGGATGAGGGATCCATAAATAATGAAGAAGCTAGGTCACTAATACAAAGCAATCTGGATTGCTTGGTAGTCTGAGTTCAAGAAAATAGCAAATGAAAGGTCAGGCATTTAGAAACAAATAATATAGGCCACCCTTCCAGAATGTGGGAACCCATGCCTATAAAAGATTTGGGGCTCATGTTGGACAAACCAGCTGAACCTAAGTTTCAAGTATGATTCTGTAATCAAACAGGCTAATGAAATTCTTGCATATGCGAGCAGGGGATCTTCAAATAGGAGCAGGGAGATGGCATCATCTCTGTATTTAGCATTCAAGAGGTCACTACGGGAATGCAGGATGCAGTTCTAGCGTCTAGACTTCATGCAGAATGTTAAAAAATTGAAAAAGTTTCAGAGAAGAGGCACAATAAGGGCCAGAGGGTCGAAAAACCTATCTTTCAGTGAAAGACTCAAGAAGCTCAATCTGTTTATTTTAGAAAAAAGAAGGCTAATGAGTGGCTTGGTCACAGTAGAGAAATTAACTAGATGGTGGATAGATATTTGATAATAGAGGGCTACTCAGTCTAAAATGCAAAGGACTAATAAGATAGAATGGCTGAAAGTTGAAGTTAAATAAATTCAGTCTACAAATAAGATACAGATGTTTAACTATGAGAATAATTACCCAGGTGAATGACTGATGTGTGATCATGGTGGATTCCCCATTACTAGAAATTTCAAAAACAGGATTGGATTTTCTTTAAAAGATGTATTCTAGATGAACCATACTATTGGACTTGAAGCAGGAATTAAATCAGGGAAATGGATTGTCTTTGTTATGCAGGAGGTCAGACAGTAGTCTCCTCTCACCTTAAAACCTAGGAATCAAAGAATATGTCTTTGCCTGCTGAGTTTGGAAGGACCATTTCGAAGACTGAGATTCAGTCTCCATAACCCCTTTTGTTCCTGAGCACGTTAACAATGCAGAAAGTGGCCGTTTTATGGTACTTCCTGTCACATGAACCCTGTCCACTAGGAACTGAATTGAGTCATTTCAGACAGTCTAAGCAGTTATAAACTCAATCTAACCTCAAATAAACAAGGTTGTCCTTTCCATAACCTCAGGCACTTCTGGCTAATAGCAACATAACAGACACCAAACGTTCCAATTATTTTCTGGGCAGGAGATGCAAAAATAATTTAGCCATTAGTCACTGGATTTAGAAAGAAATACATATTCAAATACTTTTGGTCACTAACATTTTATATCTGATTAGAACCATTTACCTAGAAAGACGAGGCTTGCATTTCACCAACAAGCTTTTGAATAATTCAGTTTTATGAGAAGAGGTATGCTTAAATGTTCAAAGTAATGCATTAAATGATACACTCAGGTACACTGTTTTGATTGTACATAAATATGTAGACAAGTCTCTGCATCTAGCCTGAAAGGTCAAATCAGCTAGCAGGCCAAAGCTTCTTAGGAAAAATTAAGAGTTTCTTGTTTAGAACAGAGCAGTACAAGTATTGAAATCACCCAAGTAATTTCTGTATATCAGTATGGCTTAATTACAACACTAGACAGCACTCTACTTGGACATCCTGTGGCCACTCCATACATGATATCTCCAAGCCTGGAAGTGGTATGCATATTGATAAGCTTCGCATCTCCAGTTTGGGAAGAAACATACTCAGAGTGGGTATGATATACCTCAATACAGCACTACTGGGCTTAGTATTTAAGTGATATAGATAGGGACCTACTGAATTCACAGTGCACAGCAGCTCCTTTAATCTTGCAGGTGCCCCTGCACACTGCTCCCCCATTGCTGATTGGCTGAGGGGCCCTGGTGGCCCTGCTGCATATTGTTGACTGACCAGGAAGCAAAAATGGTAGTATTTTTATTTGAAACTGCAGTTTTCACCTCCCTGCCCATTAGAAGTGAGTGGCAAGGCTCCTCTGCCAATCAGCGGTGGGGACATGCATGGGAACCTGTAAGTTTAAAGGAGCTGCCATACAGTCCACTTTCGCCATGAATTTGGTAGATACCTAGATATAGAAGTACCCTTCAGAACCTAAATCCTACCATTAAGTTACACAAGTGATTTTGAAAATGTTACCTGGTAAGTAACAGGTAATTTACCCCCTAATCTGCATTAAAATAGGCTAATGAGCATTAAAGCCCATGTGTAGATGCACCCTCTGTGGTGGACAAAAATGACAGCCATTCTTCCAATGACAATATCTCTCACTAAGCCCAAGGTCTCTAGGGGTTTTCCCTTTACTTCTAGTAAAGTGATAGGAGATCTTGAAAAAGCTGAAGCTTAGTAGCAATTAGAGGCAAGCTGACAGTTGTTTATTTCAATGCTTTTCCCAAAGGCTGGGTTCTCTAGTGTATCAATGCTCTTTTTTTCCAGGCAACATAAGAATGAGTGAAGGACTTGCTGGAGGGTTCAGTGTGATGATCTCCTACTTCATAGCAGAAGTGTTAACAATTGAGCTATATTGATGACACAATATTTTACAGAGTGTTGCAGACTCAATTAACTGAGTCTGCTGAAGTGTGGTAATTACCATGCTCCAGCAGCATCCCGCATCTTATGTATCAGCATCCTCGCACTTAAAAATGGCAGCAGGGCTGCTTAAACTAAAGCTTGTAGAATGAGCTTTAGCTCAAGTGCCTCCACCACCATTTTTAAGTGCAGGGATTCTGATACATGAGCCGCTGTGATGCTTAAATTAGAACAGCTCTTAGAGCCTCTCTAGTTAAAGCACCACCCCCAGAGTATGTGTAAAAGTACCCTGCAGGTACTACATTTTATGCGCATTAGCAAAAGTGCATTCATGAATGTGCCCAGAGCCTGCACATTATGTAGAATAGTGGGTACAATGGGAAAACAAATTCTTTTCCTTAGGTTCTGCCATTGGCCCTCCAAGTTCATTACTTTCCCTTAAACGTTTAAAAAATATGGTTGTAAAAATTTCCTTTTACATCTCGTACTCATTCCATGCCTTAATTTGCTTTCTCCCTTCTCCTCATTGTGCACCCAGATCTGGTTCCAAAACCAGCGAGCAAAGTGGAGGAAACATGAAAAATTTGGCAATTTTGGTGGACTCCAGCATCTAACAGAAGTCAATTTCATTCCTGCTCCAAAGTCAGAAATTTCAGTGAGTACTGAGGCCATTTGTAGAGGACCTGAGAGAGAGAATCACCCTCTTCCATATCATTCCCTTCCCAGGTAATACCCAAGGAAAGGAAAGAAAAGGAAGCATCACTGTGATTCAAACAGAATCACAAAACATGTCCCATTGTGTAATAGAACACCTTTTTTATTTATAGAAGTATATTTTGCCATTCTTCCAGAAATTAGATCAATTCTGTGGACATGTGATGAGATGTTTCTGTATGGAAAGATTTGTTTCTTTGTCATTTCCTCCAAAGTCTTTCCCTCCAAAACTGTGCGCTGGACTAACTGGTCCCTCCAACTGTACCTTAGCTGGACAGAGGAACAGTAAAGACAAACATCATTATCTGTTTCTATTGCCATGGCACCCAGGAGTCCTAGTCATGGATCAGAACTCCATTGTGCTAGGCAATATACAAACACAGAACAAGACAGCAGTTCCTGCCTGAAGAGATTACAAGCTAAATATACAAGAAGATACAACAGGTGGATACAAAGAGTAAGACAAGGGAGTACAGGGAAACAACACTAGAAAGAGTAATAGGAAACAGGCCACTGACAGCTTAATGATCATCAGCTTTTTTGAAAATATCACAGCAAAGGAAAGTTTTTAGGTGAACTGGGAAAATGTGGTAGCTTTGCTTATGTTTACAGGAGCTTCTCCCATGTATAAATGGCAAGATGAGAGAAAGCACACAAATACTACCATATGTTTTCATATAAAACATGCACTTTTCCCCCAGAAATCAGCCCCCTAAAACTGGGGTGCATGTATTAAGCAGGGAAGCTGATTTTCTGCCCAGGGTAGAAGCACCCTGCTTTGATGTCTGCCCTACAGTGCATCAGCTATGGCATTACTATTTAGGCAACTAAGGGAGTCAGTTGACATTGTGCCTTCTTGTTCTTCATTCCAGAGGTATTAGCAATCATTTCTCCTTTTTTAAGAGTCGTGATGTTCCATAAGCTAACCTTTCTTAGGACAGTGTTGCTGTCTGCTAAAAACAAGGCATATATTATATTCTAAGGTGTGGTATATGCAAGAAAATATGGTATTTTAAATACTTATTGACAGGTGAGCAATTGAGGCCGGCACAGGGAAAGGAGGCAGGAGTGTGGATATGAGAGAAAGAGAAAATACTCTATTTTAGCCACAATGAGCTCAAACTAGTTATCCACAATGCACTATCAGAGAGAGAGCAAGATTTTACTTTGGATAAAGGAGGTAGGCTTAGTGTTGAGAAGAAAATCTGTGAGATGTCAGCATAAAAGGCAATTTAACTTGTATTTAAGGATCAGCTTATCCATAAATAAATTGTTGAGAGAGAAGAGAAGGAGCCCTATCAGACTGCCAGTGAAAGATGGAGTGGAGTGGGAGGATGAAGTAGGTCCACCAAATCACAGGCTGAAAGAATGATTATGAGGTAGGAGGTGTCATAGAAACCAAGGAGAAGGACAAGACTCCAAAAAGAAGAAAAGTATCACTGATGGTGTCAGAGGCAGCTGATAAGTGGAGGAGAAGGTGTAAGGAGCACTGGTTATAAACTTTAGCTAGGAAAAGGTCATCCAAGAGTTTGATTAGAGAATTTTCAGTGGGGTACATAGAACAGAAGCTGGATTTGAGAAGGCCTAGGAGGAGGAATCCTAGAAAGACACTGTAAAGAGGGTGTTCCAAAAAGATAACAGGGTAAGGGGAATAGGAATTGATTTCCTCCCCTTGAGGACTGAATATGCTGTTTCAGTGGGACTCAAGGTTTTCATGTCAGTTCATAGATTTCATAGACACTAGGGCTGGAAGGGACCTCGGAAGATCATCAAGTCCAGTCCCCTGCCCAAGGGGCAGGAAGCCAGCTGGGGTCATAGGATCCCAGTAAGATAAGCATCCAACTTTCTCTTGAAGAGGTTCAATGTAGGAACTTGAACCATCTCCGATGGCAGGCTGTTCCAGACCTTGGGGGCTCGGAAAGTAAAGAAATTCTTTCTTATGTCCAGCCTGAATTCGTCTTGCAGTAGTTTATAACCGTTCAACCTCGTCTTCCCTTGGGGAACAAAAGTTCCCCCAGATCCTGGTGGTCACCCCTGATAAACTTATAGGTGGCCATCAGATCACCCCTGAGCCTGCACTTTTCCAGGCTAAAGAGACCTGTAGCTCTCAGCCTGTCATCATAAGGTCTGTTTTCCTGACCTCTGATCATGCGCATGGCTCTTCTCTGGACTCTCTCAAGCTTCTCCACGTCCTTTTTGAACTGTGGAGCCCAAAACTGGATGCAGTACTCCAGCTGCAGCCTCACAAGGCCAAGTACAATGGGAGAATAACATCCTGAGATTTGCTTGAGAAGCATCTATGGATGCAAGCCCGCATTTTGGTCGCTTTACTAGCCGCAGCATCGCATTGCAGGCTCATGTTCAACTTGTGGTCAATAATGACCCCCAAGTCTCTTTCTTCCATAGTGCTAGCCAGCGTAGCACTGCCGAGCCTATAAGGATGCTACAGGTTTTTCCTCCCAAGGTGGAGAACCTTGCAGTTCACTGGCACGTTGAAGCTTGAGCAGTCATTTAAGTAGAAGTTAGTAGAACCATATTTGAGGAAAGGACTAGCTGCATAACTTGGTTTTGGCAATCACCATATCATATTTCTTGGGACACTCATTGTCTCCCTATTATATCCAAACCTGTTAAACTGGCTTGTTCTTTTTGCCTTAATATTGTATCCTTCCTAAGGCTGAAATGGATAGTTATCCAGGCTGGATCATGGTATCACTCTCCTTCAGAAGTCTGTCAATGACTAGCACAAGAGGTTTGGAGGTTTGTTTCAGTCCCTGAGTGACTGCTTGTCACACTGTTTTAAGGAGCCTGTTTAGAAGTACTCTCTGAAACTTAGCTTTTTATTTCTTAACACTGGGGAAATTCATAAGGCAAGTCCCTGGCTGCTCATAAATTATATCTAACTCAAGATCTGCACTGATTTTTCTAAAATGTCTCTTCTGTTTTTTCCCTTCTAACAGGGTTCCAGCCTGATGCCCAGAAATCTTCCCAGCACAGGACCTCCCCTTGGGTATTACTCAGCAGTTCCAGGACTTGTGACATCAGCCTGGTTGCCCAATGCATTTTCTTTCACTTCCCTGCAAATGGACCCTCAACTCTTCCCTAAACCATATTTGCTCATTGACTACTTTCCTCAATGTCTCATCCTTCCTACCCATAAGATGGAATGGAGCAGAATTTGTGCCAGTTCCACATAGAAGAGGAGGAGGAAGAGAAAGAGAAGACATGGAAGACTCTAGGAGCACCCTTTGGTTGTCCTGACAAATAATATTTGTGGGCAGATGAGGTTCTCTTTAGAACAAGCCTACCCAGACTTTGAGTCTGAGGTCTGATGTCAGTTTGGTATAGTAATAATACCATAGCAGAAAGCCAAACCCCCACTAACTCCAAAGAGCACCACTCAGCCATGGAAAGAGTTCATTAATCATCCTTATAAACTGCCTACACTATTGAAACAATCTGACTTTCCAAAAGGGATAATGCACTGAATAGTCCTGCTGAAGAACTGAGACTTTACTTCATCCTGAGAGAGACACTAGGTGATCTTATTGCAATAAGAATGAACATTAAGACTATAGCAAATAACTGGTGTCTAACCAAGGTGGCCTACCTGATCAAATACAGGTCTCTTTCCTCGCATATATTGCATTGTTCCTGGTTCACTGGATGTGGACAAAGAGAGAATGTAGGTCAAAAAGCAAACTTAACTTTTAAGGAACTTTGGTTTCTGAAAAGTAAGTGGTCTTGGCTTGCTTGTTGTATTTGGCCTGGAATAAAGGGGAACAGGTACCACTTGTGTTTGAGTATAACAGTCTAAGAAAAATATCTGCATTGAGTACAATATTTGGTATTACAACCTCTGGTCGCAAGAAAATACTTTAGATACTTCATTAGATGCTTCATTCTGAGCATCTCTTTTTGACCTAAATTAAGGAAGTACTAAAACCCCACCAAAAACAAAAACAGATGAGCCAATCGAATTAATCTACTAGACACAAGTTACGTCTACACATTGCCCATATGGCAATGCCATTACTGCACCATATACGTGTTGCACTATTTTTAGCAGCTACTTTGCCGTAGTGGCACGATATAAGAAGAGAGCGCGCCACTATGGCAAAGTAGCTGCTGGTCACGTTTAGACACCTGTGGATGCTATATCGCCATAGTGCATCTCTATGGAGATGTAGTCATGTAGATGTGCCCATAATAGGATGACTTAATCCCAGTTAACTGCAGATCAAGAACAGGGTGGGCTTAATTGGTTATGAAATGTCTGTTTGCCTTATTATTTACATAATATTACCCTACTCCAAAACACGTCATTTTCTCCTTCTTATTAGAATTACAATACCACTTCCACCGACATTAGTGGCAAGAGGTGTTGGATTGTGGGTGAGATTTTGGACTTTCTTAAGCGCCTGTCAAACTGATATGTAATGCCATCTTCATCAATTATCTACACTGTCAGTATTGCACCCTAAAGTAATCTTTAGGGTGTCACTGGCCACAAACTGGTGACCTGTCTCCTAGAGGCATCACTTATAGAAGCAGACACAAGTTAACATTATTCAAAAGTAATGGGAGCTGTTGCCAGGTAATCTGTAGTAGTGGTAGCACCCTTGTGAGCATGTAGGGGTAGGTTGATTATCCTAAAAAGGCTGCATATTTAAAAATGCCTCTGGACAGACAGACATTGCCTGTATTTCAGATTTCTTGTGGCCACTGCCTAGTACCCATATACTAGATCATGCTGGAGTGGTAGTACCTGCTGTCTGCTACCTAGATTTGCCCCATGTACTGAGACTTATGCTGGGATCTATAAACCATTGGCCAACACCTTGGCCAGAGCATCAAAACCATGTCCATCAGCAGTGTAGTTTTATTCCTCTCTCATCAGGACTGAACTGCATTTCTCCAAATCAAATAAATTCAATAAATAAACGAGATATGCCTGGTCCCTTCCTGACACCAGGGGTCTCTTGCAAGTAACGCTTGCAGGTCAATGACTCGTTCTCCTTTCATCTGCAAACCAGGAGACCTGCCAGCTATTATCTGCTTTCTGGCATCACCTAGGAGGAGATAATTAGTCACAAATGGGATCTAACTCCCTTAATATTGCACCCTAGGAAATGTTCCGCAGGATCACGTCAGTTTCACAAAATCTTCTGATGAAAACCTGGTAAGTTTCTTGTGCATCTTCCCAGCAACCCACTTACTGGGTTGACTAATCTAATACTTTTCAGCACAAGGGCGCTTTCACTGCTATTCAACTTTAATTTTCTATTTGCCAGTTCCATCCTTTAATCCTACTTAACCCCTTGTGCTGTGCATCATTCCTTCCCCTTCCAGGGCCCTGTTGTTTTCCATCTGCACATTAAATAGTAGCATCCTGCATAAACAGACCTTTCAGTTTCAGTGGAACTACTCATCTTCATGCCTTCACTTTGTACACACCTCAGGTACTTCAGAGTTATCATGTTCCCCTGATTTGTTGTTTAGCTAATCTGTATATCTCGTTCCTTTAATCTTTCCTCATAAATCCCTCCAGCACATAGATGAAATTCTCAACTGGATTAAAAACAATTGGATTGATGACCAAGGTCAGAGAAGAGCCATAAATAAGCACAGATCAGGAAGGAGGGAACAGGTACAAAGTACAAGAAAGACAGTAAATACAACCAAGGAGGAACGGGATAAGCAGAGTGTAGCAGGGTCTGGTGCTGAGGCCAGTTTTGTTAACACATCAGTCATGTAAAAGAGGACGTGTTCTGTAAAACTGCAGAGACCATGGAAGATGAAAAGGCCATGCCAGCACTGGGGGAAGAAGACTGGGCTTAAAAATAGAATATATAATCAGGTTCTGGGGTTACTGGTGTTTTATATACACACTTTAAGGTAGAAAACAGGCTGTACCTCAACCCTAACTCCACTGCAGTGAACGGAGTGAAGGAGACCTTTGAGTCATTACAGGGTTTGATCTGTGGATGCAGTTTGTCATTCCACTGAGATCTGCAGAAACCAAGGCCTTAACAGAAAGCTCTGTGGCTTCACGAGGGCTTTGGGTTTTTTTATATTATTACTCCCAAAGTCCAATCAGAATTATGGAGGTCACAGAGGCTTCTAGACACCAAAGACCTTGGGGCTAGGGGATCCTCTTCTGGTCTATATGGTGCTGCCTGCTTCAACCTATAATTAATGACCCCCTTTTCATTCCCTTCCCTAGTTTGTATTCTGAACTACATATCCTAGCTGTCTGCAGACCGTCATTCCACTCCCTTCCTCCATTACCTAACATATCTCCTTGGCAAAGCCAATACAGCAGGCCACACCTAAACAAGTCATACATGCTTATTTACTTCCTTTTTTCTCCCTCCATTTCCCCCGTTTTTGTATCTTGAGGAAAATTACACCCCTTTCAAATACAATTTATAGACCAGGCACCAAATTATGCTCTGTCTATATACTCCTTGAAGTCATGAAAGTTGAATGAATGCAAACAAGGGACTGATCCAAAGATTATGGAAGTCAATGGGATATTAAAATGGACTTTGTTCAGTCTGTGGGAGCAACTTTTGGCAAAAGCAAGCGAC